AATAATACTGGCCACATACCTGTGGGTTGGAAAGTGGCCATTATTGTTCCCTTACATAAAAAAGAAGATAGAGGCAATCCAATTAATTACAGACCACTAAGCCCAATTGGAATTGTTGCTAAAATGTATACAAAGCATTTGTTGAGCAAAATTGAAATCTGGGTTATGGAGAATCATCTTTTGGTGGAGGAACAAGCAGGCTTTAGACCAGAGCGATCTACCATAGACAATTGTTTCATATTATATCACTTGGTAACAAGGTATTTAAAAATGGGTAAGAAATTATTCACTGCATTTATTGATCTATGTGCAGCTTTTGATTAAACAGAAATATCTTGTGGAGGAAATTGGCGGACCTGAACATGAAGCCCAGACTCCTTTTTCTGGTTAGGGCCCTCTACTCAAATACCCATGTGAAAATCCGTACTGGCGTAAATGGAGCCCTGTCTAAGAGCATACCTATCAATATTGGCATAAGACAGGGCTGCATTTTAGCCCCAATGCTTTTCAATCTCTGTGTCAATGATTTACCAGGATTCCTGCATGCAGTAGATTTGTATATGCCAAAGATTCTTGATAAATTTATTCTCTTTTATATGCCGATGACATGGTATTAATGGCTCATTCACAAATAGGCCTGAGGAGATTGTTGTATAAGCTGAATACCTATTGTACTTTGAATTTCTTAAATACTAATAAAAGCAAATCCAAAGTGTTGGTTTTCAACACAAAAAAATAGGAAATATAATTGGCAGATTAAGGGGGAGTCAATCGAACCAGTAAATTCTTACACCTACTTAGGAGTGGTCTTTACTAATACAGGATCTTGGTTTAATCACTTTAAAAGTAGTGCATTAAGAGCTGAGATAAGCACCAAAAGATTATATAAATTATTTAACCATAATTACCCAGGCACTTTGATCCCTATGTTGAAAGTATTTAGGACAAAAATAGTTCCAATGCTGGCATAGGGTGCAGAACTGTGAGGTTTAAATAAAGCCTCCCCACTTGCACAAACACAGACCTGCTTTTTAAGTCACTTATTGGGGACTGATAAGAACACTTCTGCTTCAGCAGTCAGAGGGGAATTGGGTATCCACTCCTTACATAGCCACTTAATAATTAAAACATTTACATACTGGCTAAAGATACAATCAATGGATTCGGATAGACTTCCCAAACTATGCCTAATTGAACAGTTAAATAAGTTCCAATTTAACTCCTGGGCCAGTCAACTCCACAGAGCCATCTTAAGACATGGGTTTTCTACCCAATATTTGTCAAGGGCTTCCCAGGCAAGGGAAATTTTTAAACAGTCTTGGATATTAGTGCCCAGGCTGACATGGAATTATTAGCAAAAAACAGATCTATAAGATGGTTGGCTAAGAATAAAAACATCTTCCAACCTGAAAAATACCTTTCAATGGGTATGCCACAATCACAGAGAAGAGCCTATACCAGAGCCAGATTTGAGTTACTGGATTCCATGTCTAGCCATGTACCATACCACGAGAGAACCTACCTATGTGGTTCATCTGCCATTGAAGATATTTCCCACATCTTGTTCAACTGCCAAATATATGCCCCTATTAGGCTTAAATATTTATCATTTCTATTGGAAAGAACAGCCCACTGGGAATCAAACCAGATTGTTATATTTCCTCCGGGCCTCTAATGTACACATCGTTCGTAGGACTGCTAAGTTTATAATCAAGGCAGCAGTCCTAAGAACACAATATATTGAACAAATTGGTGTATCCTGCAAGGGTGATCTATTATCCGATTTCTGACTCCCTGGTTTTCCACATATGTTTTCATTACTGTATTCTTATATATCTAACTTATCTGTATTCTGTCTTGTTATATATTTACGTTATGTTATTGATAAGGTCTTATGACTATTCAATTAAATAAACAATACAATACTGAGTTGGAAAGTCACTTCATGATGAAACATATTTTTATAATTCTTTTCTCTTGGTCACCATGAATTGGTTAATTGGTTGCTACAGCAAAGAAGGAACAGGAAAAATAGTTTGCCCTAAGATGCATTATGTATCTCACAGATTATCAGCAGATGCTTTATTTACCTATAAAAGATCATCCTGATTTGAGCAGGAAATGTGATGGCAGTCCTTATGGAATGATCTGGCCACATATACTCATAATTTTAACTATCCCGTTGTTGATTGGCTATACATGGGACTTCCTTGAAATAGCAAATATAGTTGCACAATTGCTGACAAACCAGCACAATAACATTGATACGTAGGAGGCACAGTAGCTGCTAATTGGTTTGCAAATGCAAAATAAAGTGCTGGCTATTACATGTAAAACTCTGATTGCCAAGGGTATATCCCGTCCCACTTCCAAGGGTATATCCCGTCCCACTTTGTTGTGAGTGAGGAGGCAGACATAGAACCTTTCTAAAACTTTTTCTGCTTTTCTTATTCTATATTTTGTTTGGTCTTTAATATGCATAAGCAACAATAAGCAACAGTACAGTAGACACCTTAAGTATTGAGTTAAAACTGAAACCTTAATTGCATAACAAATATGATGTATGTTGCATTTATTTATTAATGACATACTTAGCTTTAAATGCAAAATTTAAATAATTCTATACTTAACAATACTGACATTTCAGATACTAAAGGTAATGTTCATGATTTCTTTCTTCATCTCTGAAGATTTAAAGATTAGTGTTAATAATCTCTAATAGTGTATAAATTCCATAGTACACAAATAACATAGTGTACTACTTGTTTTATACATAAATGTGTACAATAAAGTAAGATACAGAAAAACAGAGATGGGGGGGAAGGGAGGGAGAACAAGGAGAGACTATCCTGCTTAAAAAATACAGGAGATGTTTATACTCAGTAAATTCAGCAAGAGGGTTCCATCATTCTGGAATAATCTCCATCCCATCTAAGATTAGGATGTTTCATTTCCTGATGACATTTCAGAAAAGAGTAAAGAGTGTATTTTTTCCAATAGATGTTTAAGATGGAAGATACATTTTATTATTAACATTGTTACATGGTATTTTGTATTTTCATGTTTTCTTTTGTTTTGAAATGTAAATTGCCTAGAATTTTGATAGTAGGTGGGATGCAAATTCATGTACAATATAGGCAGGCCTATTTACATGTATGCATTCATAAAATAGTTAATTAACAAAATAAGTAATTTTATGCCACTACAGTAGTTTTAAGAATGATTAATTAGTTCTGATAATCCTTAAACTTACATCTTTCTTGCTCTAAGGGAAATGGCTTTGATTGAAGAAGGAAAAATAAAGAACTCTTAATTCCATTGAAATTATGCATATACAAACACACACATGCCCTTGACAACTGTAATAAATCTGCATGTTGTTCTCATAACATTTCATCAATAGATCTAGTAGACACTAAATGTAACTATAATCTATGTAACTATTATATTTTATCTTATTTGGGGGCAATAAAGTCAAAAGCTGATTTCAAATCCATTCTATCACAAATAATTTATATATTTATTTCCAGTCCACAGAACTAAGGAACTTTTGAAATATTTTCCATGCTCCCATTCCTTATGTGAACTGGAAATAAATATATAGCCTCTTATCTGACCATAGCATAGTCTGACGGTCTTCCTTCTGTCTCAGTTCAGAGAGATGTAACTTAGTAATATAAATATACATACAAAGAAAATAGGACATATTTATAGTAAAATATCATCCACACAGTCCCAAAGGTGGTTTTTCTGGAGGCAACTGGATTTTTTTCTTTTGAAGACATTTTGCTTCTCATCCAAGAAGCTTCTTCAGTTCTGGCAGGATAATGGGGAATGGAAGGATTTATATTCCTTGTAGACAGCTGGTAGTTAGAGGGTCGTTAAAGCACTTGGAGGTTTATGTGTCCTCAATGCTCCTTGTTCTTGTAGCCTGCAATTTTTCCTCTGGAAATCCATTCCTACTCCCACACAATTCAAAGGGTATTGTCCCAAATTGTATAGCTAAAGGACTAGAGAGATTCTATGTTATCCAGGTCATGGTTGTCCAAAAAGTGCTTTTTTATGAGGCAACTGGACTGTTTTTTCTTTTCTCTCAAATCACCTAGAGTTAACCCTAAACTGAAGTATTCCATCTTCGAAATGGTCTTTGAAATAAAGAGTGCAGTCTTAATAGTGACATGCAGCTTTGTTCCCTGCAAAAAATAAGATTACGTCTCCCGGTGCTCAGTATTTTTCATTTTTTTAATTCCTCCCCTTTAAAAGGAACTTTTCAAATTTAAACTGCCATTGCTTTTAAGTTAATACCATAAAGGTATTGGGATCAAAGCGATTCCGATGCTTATAGGAGGACAACACGGAGTTTTAATGCTACTTATTTTGTTTCCCACTTCGGGCCAAATCCTATGTGAATGTCTTTTTCTGTCTGGGTGCATTGCTGGGATTCCTGGGAACTCCCCCACCTTCAGAAGGTGGCACCCCTCTAGGGTGGCAAACTTGGCCCTTCTCTCAGACCTTCCCAGAGGCGGGACAAAGGGTGATGGACACCCAGCACGTGGCCTCTACGGAGAGCTTCCTCTAGGACTGAAACGCCTGACTGAATTTCCAACTAAATGTTTTCTTAGAAAACATAAACATAAAACATAAATGTAGATAAATAAATGTTTTCTTAGAAGTCTTTACGAAAAGAGAGATCCAACGAAGCAGCGTTATTCAATACCTGCGGCTTTTTTGTTTTTTTGTTTTTGTTTATGTACCTGCAGGTCATTCATGCTTGTGTCTATTGAATCGCCCACCGCTGCCTTCCTCGCAGGACTTGCCTCCTGCCACCCTTTCCTATTTTAGTGGTAAGACCAGAACAATAAAACCCACGAACGAAGCTTCACCACCCACGCCTCAACACTGAAAGAAAATAAACGTGGTGCGCATGTGCGGCGGAAACTACTGCTTTCTCCGCGCCCTCGCTTCCAATCCTCACTGCCCTTTGCTGTCTCCCGCCCCCAACCAATATTATTCAGCCAGAGACCGGAGAAAGTCCAGACTACTGCCACTCCTCTTAGTCCCCCTAAGCCACGCCCCTCTTGTCGTAGCGCATGGGCAGAAAGGACGCCCTGCCTAAGCTCTGTTCTTGGCAGTGATCGCTGTTGCAGCGCAATGGCTACGTGCCACCTGCCGTCGGTGCAGCCTGTAACTCACCTGATCTTTGACATGGACGGTCTGCTTCTGGGTGCGTAATTTACGCTTTGCTGTTTTGCATCCGCCAGCTGGGCAATCCGGTTCGTGGCGAGAGAAGGCCGCGGATTAGTTCTGCTCTCTGGTTGCAGGACTGGAGCCGAGTGCCGCTATTGCTTCGTAGTTGTGTGTTAAAGGCGGCGATTTCCGCCTGTGGTTTCTCCCGCCTCCTTGCTAGTAACTCAGATTCTGAAAACTGCCCCTGCAAGCGTGCACACACAAACACGAATGTCCTTCTGCTGTAGAAGGAAAGCACAAAGCCAACAGGCGGGCTACGATTGCTTTATTTGTGGAGCCCTCGGTCCAAAGTACAATTGAGTGGTTATACAACTTGGCATGACGGTAACAGTCTTCCTTTCTATCATCACGTGGACGCTTCAGATCGTCTTCATGTGCACAGCATTTTGTATAGAAAAGAGAAAAAAACAACGAGTTGAAGCCTTTTAAGAAAAATGCAATCCTTAAGACATGAGTGGGCCTTACAGTAATTTTAACTGCCTTGTTTAATAAAAAGGACTGTAACCACAGTTCACTTTGTCCAGGATTGCACTGAATTTTGATTACAATTTTGATTCCTTTAATTCGGTGTTTCTGAATGTCAGCAAGTTTTAAGTTTTACAAACTTCAACTCCAAGATAGCTGGTTGAGGAATTCTGGGAGTTAAAATCCACACGTATTAAAATTGCTGAGGTTGACAGACACTGAAGTGGAAAGTTTGCTAAATAGGATCGCAAGTGTAAGTGCATATAAGTGACAAATATTAAAATGATACATATTAAATACATTTACATACATATTAAAGAAATTTACATAGTACAAATTTGAATGGCATTTAATATAGTCAGAGAGGTCTGATTTGATAATGTTAGTAGAAAGATCTTTTTATCTATATTATTACATCTTTTTTTCTTTCATTTGTCTATTTACAGGTAGTCCTCAACTTAGATCACAGTTGAGCCCAAAATTTACATTGCTAAGTGGGACATTTGTTAAGTGAGTTTTGCCCCATTTTACAACCTTTCTTGGCATAGTTGTTATGTAATCTCTGCAGTTGTTAAGTGAGTAACACAGTTGCTAGGTGAATCCAGCTTTCCCATTGACTTTGCTTGTCAGACAGTTGCAAAAAGCAATCACATGACCCTGGAACACTGCAGCTGTCATAAATATGAACCAGTTGCCAAATATCTGAATTTTGATTATTTGACTATAGGGCTACTACAATGATTGTAAGTATGAAAAGCAGTCATAAGTCACCTTTTTTAGTGCTATTGTAATTTCAAAAGGTCACTAAACAAATGGTTGTAAATCAACTACCTATATTTATTGGAACTGTAAGCACGGTAAACAGACTTTGAGATCTTAGTTTAATAAGGCACTGATCTACATTATTGGGCCTTCATTCATCAAATCAAATACTTTATTACTGACCAGCTTCTTATGATTAGATATGGATATTAATTATACAGTAATATTTTACACTTTTGTTACTGTAAAAATAATTTACAAAAACTTTTAGTTTTCAGACATGCTTTAAAATACTCTTACCCATTTCTGATGCTGCTTGTGTACATTTAAAACATTGCATATAAAATTAGTCTGTCCTTTTGTAAAAGTGAATTTTGAATTTTGGTATGTTCTTCATATCTGAAATTGTTCAAATTAGTTTGTAGAATGTGCCCTTTGCGGAGCCCTATTAAATACATTGCCACAGTAATTTTCTTTTACACTCTTTTTGTTGACATTAGATCTGAATAATTTATTAATCTCCTTTCCTTTTGTTGTACCCCCTTTCTTGCTTACCTATATTCATGAAAATGCCGCAAAGAGGTAGACTTTATGTTATTGCTAGGCTGCTTCATAGTAATTATATAATCTATTTTGAAATGATGAATTTGTAAAAACCGCTATAGTTCTGCAATGATTTTTCTTTATTGTTATTGATGTTTATATTTTTAACCTACTATGGATTTTTTAACTGTTATGGTGCTATATAGCTTATAAACTGGTAACTCAGTAGATAATGTTGGGGATAAATTTAGTAAATAAAACAAATGATAACATTGCTTCCTTTCCAAATTGTTTCTACATTCAGTAATATTTCTACCCATCTATGTGCAAAGTTTTGACAAAATCATTATTCTACTCATTCAAGAGTTTATAAAATATAGTTAAAGAATGAATTTTTGCTAATTTTTCATTTGTGTACTTACAATGTTTATAGGAAAAGCTATGCTATAGCGTTTTAAATTGTTCATCATTACTGCTTTAAAATATTCAAATTCTTAAATGATGTACAAGGCATTATTTATTGATTTCTTAATTGTATGTAACTCCAAAAAATCATTGGGAGTGTGTTTCATAAAAAACGGTTAACAATCAAGTGAAGTTTTAAGGCAATTCAACTGGCTAAAATGAAGTTTATTGATCACTTAATGCAATACATTTTTCTCTGAAGGCTGTTGAATAATACTATATAATAATTTCGTTTTTTGTGACTACTTCAATATAACCCACAGTGTCTTGAACCCTGAAATGCATATCACTTAAATGAAATCTACCAATGGTATGGGGCAGGTACATGTCTATTTTCTTTACTAAAACTGTGGTTATAGTATAAAAGACACATTTTTCTAAATCAACTATCTTGTATTAAATACCTTCTACTTTTAATGCTTTGTTTTTTATTGCTGAGTGCTGAAGATTTTAATATGACTGTTAAGGATCTGTTGATATAACATTGACAATGAAATAGCTGTTTTTAATTTATAAAGCACTATTTTTATTTTTTATATAAGTTTGCTAGGCTTAAGCTATATGGAGATATTCTTGGGGCATCCTTGCCAAATAGTAAATAACAGGAATTGTTTTTTTTTTCCCATGGTTTTCCTTGTTTATGGAGTTGTAAAATTAAAATATATTTAGAATCCAATAAAATAAATATAATTCTATCATTCTTTTGGCTCTTCTGATTATTTTGTTTTGTTAATGTAATTGGTTTTTATTTTATTTAGATAATTGTGTTCTCAGATTTAGTATACTGATATCTAAGAACTTATTCATTCCTAAAATTTTAAATTATATCATTTTCAATCAAATATTAAATATATAAACTTCATTTTATTAAATAGTATAAACACGTTCATCTAAGATCAAAACGAAATGCAGTCATTTTCTATTTTTTGAGATATCAGTGAAGAATGCAAGAAGAGATAAAGTTTGCCCTTCTACTCAGTTAAGTAAATCAGTGGTCTTTATTTTTAGGCAGAAACAATGCTTTCTCAGCACTTAATAGCCCTGTATTCAGAATTAGGTATTGTAATAATTTGTACCGTCATTTTCCCATCATGTCAACTTCTTGACTGCATCATGTAGAACTGTCAAGTGAACAGGGGTTTTTGGGGGGGTCCCCCCTCCTTTTGTATCCTCAAGCTTGGTCCCTATCAGAACCAATACATTTGACCTTGTGCTGACTGAGAAAAACGTAATGATGCTTTACGTTTTTCAGCCTCCTATGATTATATTGAAAAGGTACTTAACTCTTTGATATTGTAAGTATTTTATGAATTATGGAATATTCTTTTAATTTACAGAATAAAATATAACTATTTTTGGAACCTTAATATAACTGAATATAAAACTTAAATTAACAGTTTAGATCAGGGGTGTCAAACTGTATTTTTTTGAGGGTGGAGCAGCATTGTAGTTCTCTGCTGGCCAGCCAGGGCGCGAGAGATGGGACAGTATCCTCACCCCGTTTGGGTGGCAGAATGCTCCAGGAGGCCATCCAGAGGCACCGTGGGCCAGTCCTTTGGTATTTCCAAGCTGGCCCTGTGGGAATTTAAGCACACTTCAGGCTGGATCTGGTCCGCAAGCCTTGAGTTTGATACTTGGTTTAGAATCATCCAGCTTAAGAGAACTCTGAAACAGCAGATCCCATTGAACAAAAATACTTTAGAGAAATTCAGTGCAGAGAATTTGAATTTATAAGCAGATACTTACTATTATGCCTTATGCTTTGTGGGGGTTTTTTGTCTATAAAATTAAAAGTCAGTAGTTATTTTTCAGTTGTTATTATATGCACTTAAAGAGGCATTTTAAAAACTAAGCTAATGGGGAATACCTAATTTGGTCTTGTCTAGACCATTTCAAACATATCCTAGCATCGTATTATTTGGAAAATTTAAAAACAAGCTGGGTTTTGTGAAAGTGTACTTCTTATGCTGTACAAATATAATTTTACACTTTTTTTCCCTAGAAGCATGTAAGAAATCAGTGGTGGATTTCTTTTAGATATGTTAGGAAAACATGAAAATTGTATTTTCATGCATTTTCAAGAAAAATAAGATGTTGAAAGATGTAAGTTTTCTGAGAAATCAGATGAAGTGACTTATTGCTACAGATGACACTGACATAATGTACATTTCTCAGTTATCTGGTCCATCTGTTCTGTACAAATTGTATATTTCTGATTAAGTATCACAATAGCAGATTAAAAGCTGGTTGCAGTCTTTAAGACTGTTCCCACTTTATATTATACATTATGAAAGATCTGAAAATAGGTTACTTGGAAAAATTGAGGGAGCAGTTGAAGTTGAATATTTGGTCAATTACAATTATTCTGTCTTTGAATCTTCAAGGTAAAACACCTTCATGATTTTGAAATTTAACAATCTACTAAACTAGCGTTTCTCAACCTTAGAAACTATTTGAGAAATAATGTACTAGAAGCTCATATTGACTAGTTTCTAGCTATAGCCTTTTATCCCTTCTTCTTAAGTTCAAGCTTCCTTCAGTAACAGCTGTCCAATTCAAAAAAATAGAATTTCATCATTTTGATCTTAGATATCATTGTCTCCTCTAAATGCATCAAAAACTAATTTTAAGCATTTCAAGAGGATAGGGGTATTTGTTCCTCCACAGGTACAACTCGCTTAGTCAAAGTTACAATAGATCTACTTTGGGACTACTTACATCTTGGATTCAAAGTTGTGATGGCTGCAGTCATGTGATCTTACTTTGGGCACTCAGCAACATAGCCACATTTACAGGCATTTTCCGCATCCAGCAGCCAGCCACTGCATTTTACGATGGCTTTGCTGAAAACTGGCATTTACTTCCAGTTTTTGGCAAAATGGCACCCATGGTGAATCTTGATTAATGACCACAGCATTCTCTTAATGACTGCCACAAAAAAAGTCATAAAACCATACAACTGTCACAACTTATGAGTGTAATGGGTAGCCACCATTATGGTCATAAGACAATATTTTAAAATAACAAATTTGAGAAAAGGGTTGATCCTTAGCCTTAAGCTTTATATTCTTAAAAGTAGCCTAAGGAAAACTTATTTGCTCTTAAATTCCTTCATTATAATTTTTAGTATTATATATTAATATAGTTAGTTGCAAATCTAGTGATGCTAGCAGCAATATAATGTATATCTTCTGAACAACAACTAATGTTTTGTTCAAAAGTTGAAAAAACAAATTATTTTTTAGTATAGAATATGTATTATCCTTGGGGTAATAGATTTCCTTCTACATTTGTCATCAGCAGTTCCAAATTTATTGTTCTGTTTCCAATTTAAAAAAATTAAATTTTTACTTGTGTTGTTTTATTTGAATGTCTTACAATTTTAGATTGCAATCAATAACAGCATACTTTTAAATATGGTCTTATAAGGTAGACATCCGGACCTCTACTCTAAGAAGATTAGATGATGGAGCCAATCTAATTAGAGATGTAAAAATGGGTTATATGTTTTTCCCTTGTTGAAAAAGACAAAAATATTTGGTTACTGCTCAGTTTATAGACTTTGGGTTTTGTCTTCTCTTTAGATCTTTCTTTGGGTAAAGATATCTTAAAAGCCCCCTTCCCTGAAAACCCTGGTCTGAAACCAATTTTATTAGGATAAATATGACTCCAACTTGTTACTTCGTTTCTTATTTAATATGTGCCATTACCTGTATTTTCTTGGAAAATATTCCACTATAAACAAATGTTAAGTTATCCCCATTATGCTCTTAAGAATTTAATTATTAGTGTCATAGTTCATAGTCTTGAATAAATGAGCAGGAATCAAGGGCTCGTGTCCCGCAGAAACAGTGTATAAAACAGGAATCGGGCCCCAGACTTATTTAATAAATACATTAGGATCGGAGATGGTATTCTTCGGGTTCTGGTGGACCGGTAGTGGAAATTTTGACTGATTCGAAAAACTGGCAAATACTACCTCTGACTGGGTGGGAATGGGGATTTTGCAATGTCCTTCTCCTGGGGTGGGGTGGGAATGAGGATTTTGCGGTATCCTTCCCCTTCCATGCTTACCAAGCTGCCCACCAAGACACACCCACAGAACCGGTAGTAGAAAAAAATTGAATGCCACCACTGATTATAGGGCATATTTATTTGTACGTGGTAAATTAGGACTTATAAATTAGAAAATGAAAAGAAAAGATGAAAAGTTTTCATATGGAAAACATAACTAGATGGACACAAAATGGAAGTTGTGCTGTAAGTTTTAAACTCAAAACAATATATTAGAATGTTTCAAGTTAGCAAAGTCAGGAATTGACTTGTGGCCGCATTGCTTAATGATGGTGTTTAAAGTCCTAATGTTGTTAAGTGAGGACTATCCATAGTCCACCTTTTCTGATTGGTCATTTAGTATTGAGGATTTTCTCCTATACTATTTGAAAAGATAGAATATTATTTAGATACAATTTCAACTCTTGGTTTGTTGATCTGACTAACTATTTGTTGAAAACATCATTTTAATTCTGCTTTCTTTGTTCCGCAGATACTGAACATCTTTATACTGTTGTGTTCCAAGAAATCTGCAGTCGCTTTGGGAAAACCTACACTTGGGATGTGAAATCCTTAGCAATGGGCAAAAAAGCATTGGAAGGAGCAGAAATCATTCGTGATGCACTGGACCTTCCAATCACCAAAGAAGAGCTGTTACATGAAAGTAAAATCATGCAAGAAAAATTGTTTCCTACAGCTAGGTTGATGCCAGGTATTTTGTGTTTTCAGTTGTGTTTGCCTATCAAATTCCATTTTCACACTTTCAGTCCTAATGGATTAGATACTTTTTTTCTTGTGTCTGATTAACTTAGCATTTCTTTAGAACTTAAGAAAGACTTAGATATATTCAGGGGGATTCAAATTTTTTAACAACCGGTTCTGTGGGTGTGGCTTGGTTGGTGGGCATGGCCAACTCGACATAACTCATATCGAGGGGCGCTTCTTCTCGCCTGGCCTCTCATGACTGTGGGGATGCTGCAACGGTCGTAAATGTGAAAAATGATCATAAGTCACTTTTTTCAGTGCCATTGTAAGTTTGAATGGTCACTAAATGAACTGTTGTAAATCAAGGATTACCTGTAGAAAAATACAAAAAGCGTTTTTGCTTTCAAAAAGCTTCCCTAAATACAAATCATTAGATTAAAAATACCTGCTGGAATTACAAATCAGGCAGGGTGCCAGAACACCTTGAGAAATTAAAATAGTTAATGCAATGATAACTATCAGCAGCCAAGTCTTGCTCATAAGGTGAAACCCTTTAGCAGAGAGGTCATTTAAGCTCTCCAGAAAGAGCACACTCAGGAGAAGCAATCCTTAGATCCATTTGCACCAGCTGGTCTCACCTCACCTAAAGAAATCCAGATTTAAGGAAAGATCACATGCCCCCCAGAAAGGCAGTAAAAAAATCAATGCCAAGCTTGCATCCTGCCTCTTGGAAGTACAACCCAAAAGGACAGTGCCAGATACCACTAAAGCAGTGAAGGAAGACCCCCTCTCCCCAGATAAAAAAAGAAGCCATGAGGCAGAAAAAAATTCAAACACAATACAAATAATTAAATCACAACAGTAGCTGTTGCTTGTTAAACCAATTACCAGAACAAATAGACACAGGAACTAGCCAGATTTCTCAACCCAGTTTCTTTTCAGAAACAGAGATTAACCTTTTTCCTTCCAAACAAAGCTGAATAGGGAAAATTATCCCATCAATAAAAACAGGATTAAACGTCACCAAGCACAGAATTAAACTTCACCAAAAACCAGTTTTAGACCAAAACTCAGAAAGGGTATGTAAACTCACATTTGAATGTCAATTCTTCTAGCTAGCCAAGAAGCCTTGCTGAATGTCACTCATCTTGGTTCCTTGTCATTAAAGGCTTCTTTCTGGCAGCTCTGCTTTGTTATTCAATTATTTCTTGAAAGTGCTAAATCATTCCATAGGAGAATATTTCCTCCCAACAGCAGTGTAAAAAGCTTAAAACAACCCCTCCCCTTTACGAAAGTCAAGGAAAATAATAGCAAAGCAGAAAAAAAAACTCAAGAGAGACAGGAAGTCTAGGTGTAGTGCCAAGAATGTAATAAGGGTTAACGGAGAGGCAGTTTCTGTAAGCAGCACTACCAGAATGTTTCCTAGTTGCCTTACAGGATTAGCCCTGTAAAATGGAAAAAACAAAAGGAGATTTCTTCCATCAACCCGGTTCTATGAACTGCTTAGAAAATTAAGAACAGGTTCTAATAAATACGTGAGAACCCATAGAATCCCACTCCTGAATATATTCCTATAATATTTTTATATAATAGAAATTAAGTGATGTTAGAAAAAATAAGCTGTTGCAGTTTCAAAAAGCCAATCAGCAATAATGAGGGCTTCTTCCGAATTATATGACTACAGATGGTCATCTTCCTTCCATCAGCTGATCAAAGTTTGTTTGATAGATAAAGATACCTCAATGTTCTGAAAGAGAAAAACCTTTTCTGCGCCATTATGTAGCATCTGCATGAGAGGTGAGGATGATGGCCAGTTTTCAATATGCGCTTCTGCACAAATTATAAGAATTGACCAATACCAACTAAAAGACAAGTTCGCTTTTTCTTATTTTAGGACTAGTGATTCAGATATATCTATTTATATTTATACTTGAATACATTTGAACATAGGATAAATATGCATGAGATGCGTATTTATCCAATGTTCAAATGTATTCAAATGATGTATCTGGTATTACCGGTATAAAACTTTTTTTTTTTAAAAAAAGCAATAAACTGGTAGAATAGCTATTTTCTTCTTTATAATATTATCATCAGTCCACCATTTGAAAACATATTTTAATGTAATTTACTTTTATATTTCATGTTTGTCTAAATTTGGGAAGTTATTGCCACAGTAATGCAGTCTCTAATAATCTGCTTCAACATTAAAGATAATTTGGTGTCTCTCATATTTTCTTCTTTGGATCACTAACTTTAGCAAATACTTTGCGGCACTGTTTATGCGGTATGGATTCTAATGAACTTTAGCTAATCAGGAAGTAGCACAACAATGGAAATTAATTTCTCAGATTTTGAATTAGAGAGTTGACTAAAAACCCGTAAAATTACTATTTTATATTCTTAACATTTAGTGCTCTGAAGACTTGTCTTATGGGGGAAATGCCATGAACAAAATAATTTCCTAGATGCAGTATTTTTGGAAAAGTACAACAATTCTGCAAATCTGTCCATTAGGATTTCAGAGCAAAACGCCTAATGAAATACAGCAGATACCACTGAACTTCTATAAATGAATAAACTTTCTCATATTTGTAAACTTCTCAGTAAATCTAGCAAAGGGTTAAAATTTTGTCTGCACCTTTCTTATTGTCTCAATTTTTCTTCATTATAATTTCTCAGGACTGATTATCTGCCATCAAGTTATTTTCAACTCCTGATAACCACGTAGTTACTCTCATGCTATTTCATCATGTTCCATAAACTATTTCCCATAAAATTTTGCATTCCCTCTTCCTGCCTGCCTGTCTGCCTTTCCTCCCTCCCTCCTTCCCTCAGCATTAGTCAGGTTTCAGATGCAATTTTTACATATAAATTAACCATTTCTATCACTATTCCAGAAACATACCACTATTTCAATATGTCTTTAATAACTCATATGTATCTAGTCTTAGGGTTTTCAATTGTTTATCAATTGTTGCTTATATTTTTTTCTTGAATTCTTAATGTTTGTCATTTTAATTCCATTTATTGTATTACTGTCATTTCCATATAAATCTGTAATAAAACAGACTCTTTCATTTCAATTATATCTCAATACATTTATTTTTAATTCCATTTATTCTACTGAAGGCTCCTTACTTAGTCCTTTGCACTTAGTTGCATAACTACTTTTATTTCCATTAAAACTATTCTACATTTTTCTTTCTTTTTGAAATCTTAACTATTTTTTGCTTTTGATTGCATTCTTTGCAGTCCTTATTACTCTGTAACATAATTTGTCTTGTTCTTGGTTTTTGTTGAATTTATTTTATTACCTGCAAGTTTTTTTCTGACCATAGTGTTTTCATTCCACTAAGTATCATTTTCATTCTTCTGGTTTGCATAACTAATCTTTGTAACTAGGTAAAGATATGTAATACCTATAATTACATTCTCTAACATATTTATTTTTCCACCATTCTGAGCTGCTTCCACATCTACTTTCTTTTATCAATTTTCAATCATTCAGTCAGGAATTTGTTTTCTAGTATTTCTTTACATTCCTGTTCTTTCTTTCTATATCTTTTTGCTTTTACTCTAGTATTTTTTTTCATTTTTATCAAATTCTAATTTGCTGCATTTACATTCATAACTCCTCATTATAGAGTTCCATAATTCTGATTTCAACGATAAGCAAGTGAAACATGATTTTCCTTTCATTCATTCCATTTCCTGATGTATGCTATCCAACATATTTCCATCTCCCCTTTACATTTATCATATTTCATCTGGAAGGTTGCACATTTTCCCCAAATATTCATTCTGAATTTTTTTATTATTTCTCTTCACTGAAACAGTAACATTCTAAGCAAGTTTTCCATTTTTTTACCCACCACCACAACATTCATCAGATAGACAGACAGACAGACAGACAGATAGATATTGATATATATTAGTTCTTTAATACATAACTGCAATTTATTTCTTCTATTTCTTGCATGTATCTATAGCCTCCTGTATCTATAGCCTCCTGTTTGTGAAAGTAGGATACTTTCATTCAGATCTATTACCCGATTCTTCTACAAATCATGAGGCAATTATAAGCACTATCTCTCTGTAACAGCAATTGGACACATTTGGCAACTATTTGATATTTATTTATGCCATTTATATGCATGTTGTACTAATCAAGCAAGACATTTTAATTGTTGTGATTAATAAATATGAACCTTCTTCTAAATTCTAGACATTGTGTGAATGTGTTATGTTTAATAAGGATTAGTACATCAATCTTTCAAACAGAAATCCCTTAATTTGACTAATCTAATTTGAATTTGTGTAAAAATATCTCTGTGCAAAGTACGTGTGAGTAGCATAATTAAAGGACTTGGATTTTGGTTAGCTAATATGCTGGATTCAGTTGCAAATGTATAATGTTCTAATTGCTAGAGCAGCCTATTAAATATATATTAGAAGAATGAAATGTGATTAATTTATTTAAGTTGACATGTCATAAATTAATACTTTGACAATCAATCACTTTTTATTTCCGTCAGTTTTATAGAAACAAGGTTTCTTGAAAATATCTATTTTTGGATTTAGCATAAGAGAAAGGTATCTTTGAAACATTAAAATGAGGTTATGTGGAACACTAAACTATTTAAATACAGAACAATGTGCAGATTGCATTGTTTTTCATATAAGAAACCTACGGCAATTCATTTTCCCTTTTTCACCTAGCTTCCTATATCTTGATATAAGAAGCTGAAAAATGTTTTAAACTAGTTTTACTCAATGAAAAAATTAGTTTCTAACAATAGCAGGTCAGATACCAACATTTTGAAATTTGTATTTATACAAATGTATTTCTTGAAACAAATGTAATTGTTCCCAGGATAATTGATTATAAGATTAAGCCCAATAATTAGAGAAATATTTTAATGTGTTTTAATAATATCTCAGCCTCTTTTTTATTTTTACTATTGAATGGCCAGTTGTTAGGGCGTCTTAAGCAATGTCATTTAAAAATTACAATTTCTTTCTTGTAACATGTAAGTGTTCTGTCTTTCCAAGTTTTCAATTTTCTCTAGCCAAGCTAAAGAGAGATTGATAAATTTTGATTATCGTGTTCCCAAGTGAAACTTCCCAAATATTTTTGTATGTTTATCATTTAGTAAAACAGACCAAATAAATGTATTTGTACACATAAATAATCAGAATAAGATTAAGAAAGTTAAGCTTCTTTGGCCTCATTTTTTGGCCTTTGAGGCATAGGATTTATTAATGTCTTCTTATAAGGCAAAAATGCTTTCCCATATTCACATGATCAAATGACATCGAAACAGGGCTTCCTTCTTTGCTTTTTTTATTGTTATTATTGTTCCTTCAAGTCTGTGTTGACACCTAGCAAGTGCCTAGACTTGTCCTTGCAATTGTCCTGGCAAGACTTTAGAAATAGTTTGTCATTGCTTCTTTTCCTAAGGCTGAGATACAATGGCTGGCCCAAGATCACCCAGCTAGCTTTGTGCCTAAGATGGGGCTAGAACTCACTCTCCTGGTTTATATCCTGATGCCTTAACCACTACTGCAACCTGGCTGTCAACCCTGAAGCTGGCCTGACCGAAACCATTTTGTCTACTTCGGTGTTGTCACACTGGAGCTGAGGGACAGGGAGAGAGGATTTGAAATAGGGAATTTCGTAGCCACAACAAAATACTTTCTCTTTTGAGAACCAAGGACATTTTCATACCTGGTCAGAAGAAGGTGGAGTGATGCCACCCAGTTTCCAGACTTCATGGTGATTGGACCATGTGACTGATTGTTTTGAGAAAGTAGAAAATCTTTTATGTTTTATAAGGTGAAAACTGAGGGAGTTTTCAGGGTCGGTTTTCACCAGATATGTGCTAATATGATATTTCCAATAAAAGTATAAAAGGATTTTTTACTTGGAACCCTGACACTGGTTTTCTATGCATTATTGTAATACATAGACTATGTAGAGTCTGTCCCAGTGTGGTTTATGCTAAATAGAGAGAGACCTTACACATCTGTCACTGAGAGGTATCTTCATAGAAAGGGAGATCTATGAGTTGTGGGAATCAGTTGATGGATCTTCACAACTTTTGTATGTACAATAGCAATGGCACTTAGACTTATATATACCACTTTATAGTTCTTTACATCCCTCTCTAAGCGGTTTACAGAGTCAGCATATTTCCCCCAACAATTTGGGTCCTCATTTTATCCATCTCAGAAGGATGGAAGGCTGAGTCAACCTTTAGCCTGGTGGGATTCGATCTGCCAAATTGCAGGCAGCTGGCTGCAGCAGAAGTAGCCTGCAGTACTGCACTCTAACCACTGCGCCACTGAGGCTCGGTATATATTTTACCTGGATATGTTTGTATGTGTATGCATAGGGAACAGTAACTTCTTTATTTGTTATAAAGGTATTATTTGGGGATTTTTTTATTTGAATATTTTCTTTTATTAGATACTTTAGGTATATATACGTGTTGTGGCCCCGATTCCTGAGCCTATGCTGTCAGAGGAAGAGGACCTGGAAGATAAGGGGGAGGAAGTGGGAATGCCTTTCTCCCCAGGACCTTCCTCCCTGGCAATGCCTTCCTCCCCAGGACCTTCCTCCCTGGTAATGCCTCAGGTTCCATCAGACAACCAAGAGGAACAGCCTGAGATGAATCAGGAGGAAGACATGTCGGAGCAGCCCCTGACAGGGAATGAAGAGAAGGAGTATTAGTTCGACCCCAAGCAGCGTCGTAGGGAGAAATGTGAGCAGCAACGTAGGAGGCGTGGGAGGGTCAGAGAGTGAGCTGAGTCACTGAGCCACACTGAGCTACACAGGGGATAAAAGTGGGTGTGCTTTCTCCTTAAACTTCGTACAGGAAAAAGTTTAACTTACTTCAGATTTTCTCTGTGAATGATTGTTTTGTGGACTACCTTGTGATTTTTATGAAGTAAAAGAACCATTTATCTCTGTGAGTAAGACTTTAATTTATAATTGCTGCCAGCTCAGACTTGGCAGGCAGGACGTAGTGGAATGCCAAGAATATTATCAGTTCCAAAGAATTAGCTCTGTGAAGTCCGAGCCAGCTTACCTGTCTGTGTTTGTGTGTGTGTGTGTGTGTGTGTGTGTGTGTGTGTGTGTGTGTATAATCCCTTACCTTTGGGGGGGAAGGGAAAGGAAGGGGAGACAGTACATATACATATAGTCAGAAACAAATAGGATTATTGTTTGAATTGTTATTTATCCATAAAAGCAAGGTAGGGCAAAAAGAGAGAGAGAGATGGGAAAAAGGTAAGAAAATTGTGTGCACATGTTTTTTGTGTGTGTATCAATCAGTGCATTTAAAGTATTTGTGTATCTTTCTTACACAGGAGTTGAAAAGCTAATCCACCATCTACACAAACATAACATTCCCATAGCTGTTGCTACTAGTTCATCTCAAGTGACATTTGAAATGAAAACAAGCCGACACAAAGACTTCTTTGCTTTATTTCATCATATTGTCTTGGGAGATGATCCTGAAGTAAAGCATGGCAAGCCACAACCGGATGTGTTTTTAGTTTGTGCAAAGAGATTTGATCCTCCTCCATGTCCAGAAAAGGTAAACATAATCACAAAATAGAATAACAACCAAAAATCCAAGCTTTTATATTTCGATAAATATGTGTGTGTTTGTGTGTGGGGTGGGGGTGGGCAGGATTTTTTGGTGGCATTGTTATTGATCTTTAACGTATAATAATTTATAATGACAACTGATGGGCCACTGTTTGCTCTAAAACAATATTATAATTGGACTTGGAAAGCAAAGCAACAAGATTAGGAACTAATTGGATAGGAGACCACCAGGAAATTCCAGATGATTCCTAACAGCAGCATGCAAAGCAACACTCTTTGGCAATACTTTGTCTCATGCTTCTTCCAAGTCTACATTCACCTAAGTTGGTTCTGTCATTAAAGAATGCTGCAACAGTTTATTCACATTCAAAAGTAATTGAGACAAAAGTGTACCAGTCCTGTTTGTTATGGAATATCCTTTACATGCATGGAGTCTCCACTGAGTAGAAAAGGGGAGAAACTGTTTAAAAAATGTATGGAATCCTCAGAGAAAGGTCACTCAAAAAATAATCATTTGGGAGAGGGAAGAATCACCTTAATTCCTTTTAAGAAAATGTCCTTTTATTTGGGCTTAGATTTTATTTGTAAAAGGAAGTTTACACATGTCTTGATAATATATCAGGCAGCTAGTAAGAGTGATAAAATAATAAATTATATTTTGTAACTCTCTGTCATTCTATGTTGAAGCTGTGAAAGTACTCACTCATTGCTAAAAGCAGTATATTATTAAGTGACTGGAGAATAAGCCACTGTATTAAGGAGCTCATTACAGATTTTTTTTAAAGTTTCATGATAGCCTCTTCTGAATCATATATCTTTTGCAGTATAGAAGAGTATTGCTACTGAATATAATAATAGGATAGCTATGTTTAATTTACTTCAACAAATCTTGTCATAGAAGTTTAACTGCTTTATGCTTCCCATAACTGTATCTTTATAACCTCTGAAAAAAGAACGAGTAAACAAGAAATTATTCCATTAATGTTGTTACATTTATGCTGTATTGTGTTACTCTGAAGAGACAAATGGGGAATAACCAAATATATTTGAAAATATTGCAAAATATTTTTTTTACAGTGATTTTTTATTTAGACATCCATGTTTTCTTTCCTTTTTCTCTTACTCAGTGTTAAATTATCATTAAGGTAATTCAGTACTAAAGGAGGCATTAATCTCATCATGTTTGTATATTTAAATATTCTCATGACTCTATATTATTTAATTATTTATATAATAATATAAGTAAAGCCTGCAAGGTAGCTTTCAAAATATTAAATTAATATAAAGATATTAATGTATTAAATATATTAAATGCCCTACCATAAAAGAAGAAATCAATTTCCAGAATTTTATTAGAAAAAAGCTTACAAAGGAAATATAGAGTAGAGGATAAATTTAGCAGTGAAATTAAGTAACTATTAGTGATTTTATTTGCAATTAGGTAGTAATTTTTTTCTTGTGCCTTTTTTCCTAGCATCAATATAAAGGAATTGAAAACTATAGTAGTTTATTGTAACATTTTTACTCACAGCTTTGTTACAAATGTGGATTTCTTTAAATATCTGTGTAACTTGGAATTGCCTTAATATTGCTTAGAAAAAAATTGTACTATCTTCTTACCTGTAATTTTTAAAGTATCTATTTATACTGCATATACACATTTGTTTGTTTTATCAGCGGCAGTGATAGTTGAAAAATCACTATTGGAAATGGGCAAGGAGCTATGCGTTGTTTACCTGTCTTTTTCATTTTAGAAAAATCATCAAGTGTTTGCTGTATAATTTCTCCAAGATAATGAACGCTATTAGTCATCAAGGATTAGACCAATGGTGGTTAAATCTTCTTGGCACCAAGAAGAAAAGGAACTGAGTGCTGAAATGTGTGCACATGCCGAAAAGCAGGAGAGCAGCTCCAGAGCACGCATGCAGACCAGCCACCTGGTCTTTCGGCTACTAACATGTATGCGCATGTGCATGCACGTTAGAAACCGGAAGACCAAGTGGCCAGGTGGTTTCTAATGCGCATGCCCGCTGGCCATCTGATCTTTGCATGCACATGTGTGTTAGCAACCGGAAGACCAGCTGGCTGGTGCAGAAGACCTCATGAGTGCACAAAGACCAGCTGGGCGGTGCACGCCAGAACCTGGAAGAGCAACAGGTGACAGCTGGTGTGCCCAGAGAGATGGCTCTGTGTGCCACTTCCAGCACATGTGCCATAGGTTCATCATTATGAGATTAGACAGTATAATTTTTAAAAGAACCAAGATTGAGCTTGCTATCTATCTTGGATCACCAATACCTTTAATCTGTCAACAGTCATAAATTGATGATAAATTTTCAAACACAAACATTACCTCGAATGAGTTCTTCAAATGAATAAAGACTGCATGTTACTGAGGCAAGAGCAAACTTGTTTTTGTCTTCTCACAAAGACCTATTCCTTGCAGTGTTACTTAGAAGAACTTGTAATATATTTTTAAAAAATGTTCAAATCTGAGGAAAATGTATTCTACTTTATATGTTCTCTTATTATAAGCTGATCTCTGGATAGTGCCATTTCTAATTTTAACTTTAATTTTCTTAATTTTTAACAACAGTGAGAACAGTCTCCCAAAGCCTTTAGAATGGAATTTTATATGTATTTATTATATTTTTGCTGTAGTTGAATATGGATTTTGTTTTGGTATAACAAAACATTGCAAGAATCTATTTGTTCCTTGGTAGAATTGTTAAACATAATGTGCAAGGAACATATGAACAATTAGAGTTTATTTCTCGAAACAGGTAAAATTGTAAGCATTGGTGTATTCAGTAGCGTGGAATGTTGATGGTGCCTAATTTGTTTGCTAATGAAGTTATTGGTGAGGTACGCAAGAATGCAAAGTGGGTACATGAAGTCCACATGGGTTGGGGAGAGTATAAGGAGATGTGTGAGAAACACTACGCGGGTTAGGGAATATGCCTGAGGTTGTGCAAGTGCACACATGAGTTGGAGAGGGACTGTGTGGGTGCAACACAAGTCAGGGTGGAACTGGGGAGGTGTGGACTAATGGTAGATATGGCAAAGCATAGAGGGATTGGGAAGGATTTGTGGGTCAGGGAGGGTTGACTTTCTGGCAAAGCTGACAGGGAAGGATGCAAATGGCAACCACATGATTGCAATTGTAGGGTGGTTACAACTGGCTGTAAGTGTGAACAAATTGCTAAGCATCGGGTCTCAATCATGCTAGAATTCTTAATGGCCTGTCATAATCATTATTTCTTCAGTGGAATCATAATTCGTAACAGTCACTGACCATATGATCATAGGTTGAGGACTATCTGTCTGTTGTAAAATTGCTTTTTATTTGCAAGCCAATCAATCTTAAACTGAAGAATCTGAATGAATAATGTATAAAACTTGCATAGCTGACAAAACAGTGCCTTCTCTCTCTTTTTGCCCTTGTAGAACAAGATCACACTTGCAGAAATTTTGCCAGACTTGCATTTTTAGTGCAAAATTTACATTATTCTAATTGGCAAAATATCTAAAATACTGTAGTTCTGAAATATCTAGCTGGCATATATAACATACATATGTCCAAATGCTAACCTTACATTGACATTTATACGATTTTTGCAGGCCGGGTTATGTTAAAAATGAAAACTACCAACTTTTCAAAAACTGACATTGCCTGCTCTAAAGGATTTGTAATGTCACTTGCGCACATCTTTATTGGAAAGATCTGTAACACATTTTAAGGGCAGCAGAAAATCATATCATAGACTTTACAAGGGAAGAAAATTGTAGCACAGTGCTATGAAGTTTGCTATTGTTTCAGTTTCTGAAAATATTTGTTAAACGGTTAATATACAGTATTAATATGTACACTACTGATATAAATCTTATTAATAATTTCTACAAAGAGCTCAGCAAGTTTCAAACAATAAAAAAATAAGAAGATGTTTCCTGAATCAGAACAGAACATTATAGGTGCATGAAAGATATATACATGGCTGAAAAAAATAAAGGGAACACAAAAATAAGACATCCTAGATATGAATGAATGAAATATTCTTATTAAATACTTTGATCATTACATAGTTGAATGTGCTGACAACAAACTCACACAAAAATTATCAATGGAAATCAAATTTAGCAACCCATGGAGGTCTGGATTTGGAGTTACACTCAAAATTAAAGTGGAAAAAAACACTACAGGCTGATCCAACTTTGATGTAATGTCCTTAAAACAAGTCAAAATGAGGCTCTGTAGTGTGTGTGGCCTCCACGTGACTGTATGACCTCCCTACAACACCTGGGCATGCTCCTGATGAGGTGGCAGATGGTCTCCTAAGGGATCTCCTCCCACACCTGGACTAAAGCATCCCCCAACTCCTGGACAATGTGGTGCAACGTGGCATTGGTGGATGGAGCGAGACATGATGTCCCAGATGTGCTCAATTGGATTCAGGTCTGGGGAACGGACGGGCCAGTCCATAGCATCAATGCCTTCATCTTGCAAGAACTGCTGACACACTCCAGCCACATGAGGTCTAGCATTGTCGTGGATTAGGAGGAACCCAGGACCAACCACACCAGCATATGGTCTCACAAGGGGTCTGAGGATCTCATCTCGGTACCTAATGGCAGTCAGGCTACCTCTGGCGAGCAAATGGAGGGCTGTGCAGCCCCCTAAAGAAATGCCACCCCACACCATTACTGACCCACTGCCAAAACGGTCATGCTGGAGGATGCTGCAGGCAGCAGAACGTTCTCCATAGTGTCTCCAGACCCTGTCACATCTATCACATGTGCTCAGTGTGAATCTGCTTTCATCTGTGAAGAGCACAGGGCACCATTGGCGAATGTGCCAATCTTGGTGTTCTCTGGCAAATGCCAAACATCCTGCACGGTATTGGGCTGTAAGCACAACCCCCACCTGTGGACGTCGGGCCCTCATACCACCCTCATGGAGTCTGTTTCTGACCGTTTGAGCATCCACATGCACATTTGTGGCCCGCTGGAGGTCATTTTGCAGAGCTCTGGCAATGCTCCTCCTGTCCCTCCTTGCACAAAGGCGGAGGTAGCAGTCCTGATGCCCTCCTACGGCCTACCCCGCGTCTCCTGATGTACTGGCCTGTCTCCTGGTAGCGTCTCCATGCTCTGGACACTACACTGACAGACACAGCAAACCTTCTTGCAACAGCTCGCATTGATGTGCCATCCTGGAAGAACACTACCTGAGCCACTTGTGGGTTGTAGACTCCATCTCATGCTACCACTAAAGTCAAAGCACCGCCAGCATTCAAAAGTGACCAAACCATCATCCTGAAAGCATAGGAACTGAGAAGTGGTCTGTGGTCACCACCTGCAGAACCACTCCTTTATTGAGGATGTCTTGCTAACTGCCTCTGCTTTCCACCTGTTGTCTATTCCATTTGCACAACAGCATGTGAAATTGATTGTCAATCAGTGTTGCTACCTAAATGGACAGTTTGATTTCACAGAAGTGTGATTGACCTGGAGTTATATTGTGTTGTTTAAGTGTTCCCTTTACTTTTTTGAGCAGTGTAAAAAACTTACGTTTTTGCAGAAAAAAACATAAGAATGTATAATTATAGAAAATGCTATTTCAGTTGATCTAGGTCTAGGACAACATAAATTGATTTAATCTTAGTCATCATGATTACATATATTCTGTATTAAGTTGTAGAAAAAATTCCATTTGGATTTAAAAGCCAACAGAGGTACTTCTGGTCACAGGCCATACACTATATACAGATTTTTTTTAAAAAAAATAGATTACACCATTGTATGTAAATTAGGCAATGAGTCTACCTCAGCTCATTCCTTCAGAGATTAACACTTCATTAACAAAAGGCTGCTCAATCCAGTTGAGGGTTCTTTAGCTACATGGGAGTTGACTTTTTACAGTGCCCTAAATTGCTGTAATACATCTGGGAGAGTGGAGAAGTAGAGATGGGGGTTGAGTGAGAAAAGCAGGAGTACATGAAGCTAACTTCTTTTTTTGCATCTTCATGGATACAAGAGCGTCCCATGAAATACACACATGGGCACAAGATAATGCATTTAAGCTAGAATAGAAGCAGGACAAAGATCTTGTAATGTAAGACCAGCTGCAAGTGAAGATATGAAAGTTCTTTAAGAAATCCATGAAAATAGTTTATGAAAGTTTAATGTAATATTCTGGCTTAGTGTGTGCTATTTTTGAATACTTACATGAAATGGAGTTTCAATAAGAGAAGACAATTAGGACAGAAACAGAATTGTCCCGTATAAATGCAAAAAAAGGTACCTACATATATTTTATATGCCATATTACTTAACTCAAAGGTACAAAATTATATGCACTAAATACATATTGAACTGCTGTTAAAATCAATGGAAAACAAAGCTTAAATGGAAAAATAATCTAAATAAAATAAAGTTAGGATTAAATTATTGTGGTTTTTCAAGCAACAATAAAATATCTTTATATTTATCTTGAAAACCATGAACTAATCATTCAGATAAGAATGTGCTTCATCTAAAATTAAAGTTTCAGTGCTGGTGTGTTTGATTTTTAGCATAGAAATGTAACAAATTAAAAAAAATACAAATATGATTGTTAAGTGGTTATCATCAAGTGTCATATTGGTGCTGGTTTTGTCTTGTCTGACTTATTTGGAGGGGGGAAAGAATTTTTTAAAAATCGTGCGTTTTTTTCATCTAGCTGTCTTTACAATGAATGCACAATGGATTACAATTAAACGAATTATTCTACTGTAATAGTGGGGAAAGGATATCATTAAGCATTTTTTAAAGTTGACCTCATTTTCTACCTACAATGTAGAAATCAGCAAAATGTATGGTTTGAGGTGGTATTTTTAAAATTGATTTATGTTATTTTAAAGCAAAATTTTAAAGTGGTAGTTTTGCTTCCACCCCAGGAATTACCTCTACAATTTCTTCTTTCGCATATGATAATTTTAAGAAACAATTTTATTTGTTGACTATTTGCCACAATAAAAAGATAACATTTTACGCACACAAGAACCTGTACTAGTTCTTCAGATTAAAATCTGAAATCTAATCAAAGTTAGTATCATTTGAATGTCCATTAAAATAAGTAGGATTGTCTATATATAATTATGAGATTCAGTGGTTAAGTCACTGGGTTAGGCAGGAGGCAATAGCAAACCACATGAAAAGAAAGCTGCAGGGATTTGTCCAGGCAGTCACTTGGAGTTAACACCAGCTTCAAGCCACACACATACACACACACTATATTGTACAAACCAATATTTCATTAAATAATTAAAGGAAGGGCAACAGTACCTTTTATGTGATTTTATTATTTGATGGTGGTTACTATATCAACAAGGGACAGTAGCGTCCCTTTTCTAGAATATAAAACATAGAGTAATAGCTTCTAATTGGTGGAAATAATAACTTGAAAGTATCAAAGATACTTCTGTGCTACAAAATTATTTTTAGGTAGTTTGAATTCAAATATTCTATATATGATGATATATAATATGCATATTCAATAATAGCTTCAGATGAAGTGATAATATTGCATCAAAGCATGTGGGAAATAAAATTTTGGAAGTTATAATTGCTGAAGAGAGGATTTCTGTGACTTACTGAATGCCCTTTTCTTTTTAATTGGTTATTTCTTTGTGTTATGACTCTGCAATCAAATATAATTTTGGGTTTATGGAGCAATGTAAAATATATTAAGAAATGTCAAAAACAACGCCGCACAACATTTTTACAGCAATAACTGTACTTAGCCTTTGTGTAAAATGTCATGGGCTTCATTCCCAAAGTGAAGCCAGCACAAAGATTGATCAAATTTAATTAATAGAACAATTAAATAATTAATTAAATAATTGATAGAATTTTTCTTATTTGTATTAATAATACTTCCTTTTGTAATTCTTAATTTTGAGAAGATGATATCAGTTAGGATCATGTGTTTTACAGATTACAGCTCACCCTTGGTCTCAGGCTGGTCCAGTCTTAATTCAAGTATTTTAGACCTGTCTGAAATTATTCTGGTCAATGATTCTCATTCTAATACATTTTAAAACAACCACCACCTCTTCCTCCTGCTGTTGCTGCTGTTCCTGCTATTTCTTGGTATATAATGCTCTTCAATTTTTCAAAGGGGAAAAATATATCACCTTTTGTGTGTATTTTGGAAATATTTGAATGGACTATCTTTATAGATTGGCTATTATGACAATCTTGCAGTCTGATTCTGCTGTTCCCCTCTTCCTTTTTATACTCCAGTGAGTCATGGAAATGTCTGTCTGAGCTGCATCTGAATGTTGCCTGGACATTCTAATCTTAAAAATGTTTTAGTCCCTGGCTTCTGCATATCCTATCAAGGTTACTTCCTTTCCTTTTTCCTATTTACTGTCTAAGTAGACAACTATTATATTCTAATTTAGTAGATTCGTCTATACTGTTCCTCTTACTAAATTTTCATCTTGGATAATTTTGCATAATTTCATAAATTATTCTGCATATATATTTTTTATTTAGCTTCATGCAAGGAAATGATGCATTTGTCTTTATGCTACCCTTTGAAAACCACCACAGATTTGACTAGAGACTATGGAGAAGAAGAATATTAGAAACTGGAAAAGAAGTCTTCATTTGGTACATACCAGTGACGTGGTATTTTATTGAGCCACACCTAAAAACCCTTCTCTTTGGATTTTTTCATTCTCTCTGAATGATTTATTCCTGATACCCTTTTTATTCTTATTTCTTGAGCAACATCTTTTTGAAGGATTTCAAAAATTAACATAATTTATTATTTTCAGCTGCCTTATCTGATCTAAATCAATTCAATTGGTTATTTAGCTTTTTCAGAGCTACATTCATTT